ATATAAACATTTCTATAATGCAAACAGCATGAGTCCAAGCTAAGTCGTATTAAGTTTTTGCAGATCTGACATTGTATAGGAATAGCTTGCTGATGAGTATATAGCTTTTTTGTGATTCCATAGGTGCCTGTACTCTGTGGTTTGCCCCATTCTTGTACGTTACCACTACTGATGTGTACAAAAATTCCTTTTTGCTTTTACTGCTTAGTCTGATGAAGGAAGTATGAGTGGATAAATTTGCATCCATAAGAAATGTAATTTCTACAGTTCCCTAAGACTGGAAGTTCTGATGCTGATAGATTTTGGGATTGATTAAAAATACAAGCTTTCTGAGAGCCACTGTTCTCATTTATTTAAGGGATGTCATGCCTCTTTTTGAGTGACTGCATGCAGAAGGTCTTTGCCCAGGCTGATGCCCTTAGTTTTATCTTAGTGCAGAAGGACATCCAGAGACAGCAGTAGTTACTGTGCTGTTGGTTTGAAGAGCTAATAGATATACATGAGATTTCTACGGTGTTTCCTCTTGGCACAGTATTGCCAAGGTTCATTCAGTCCTCGTGCTGTGTGCAACCAAGGACCACTTTGCTTTTATTTTATTTTGCAGAAGTGAAGCTCTGAACTGAGGGCAACAAGATAGATTGAAAATTAGTGTTAAAATGTATTTTATCTAGTAACTTTTTTATAGAAGATACCTCTCATTTACTTCCAACAATCAGAAAAGTCAGACTTGTAATACAAATATGCTCTAGCACCTATTGAATTTCATCATTAAGGTCAAAGGCATCACCGGTTCACCAAATTCCTCCTTCACAGCTGTCAATAGGCCTACGTTTCTCTGTCTGAAATTCCAGCTTGCCAAGCTTAACTTGGTATTTTCTTCCTTCTGTTTTTCTTTCAGCAAAACAGGATTAATAGTTAAGAAAGTTTTAACATTTTAGGATTTTGAGCCCTTAGTTTTCTGTTGTCTTTGGGCTCAGGATCCTTCCCAAAGCAAGAACAGGAGAGTCAAAGGATACACCATAATATTCTGTAATTCAGATAGAAGTACAACAGCAAAAGTGGCAAGGACAAACTTTAATTACAGTAGATTATAAGTAACCGTGCTTTATATTTCAGTATTGTGAGTAGCACTTTGTACTCCTTTTTACAGAAGGTTTGTGTTTGAGAAGTAAGAATTGATAGTGCAAAGCATTCAGGTAGCATAATGATTAAACTGTATATGGTCCTAGTCCATGCGTTAGTATTTGCCTTGCATTAATAGGCAGATCTTTTGCTATTTTTTTACAGATGTTGGCTGCAGGAGAAGTTAATAAGGCCTTAGATGTCAGGTCTGAAATATCAGTTGCTGACTTGAAAAATTCAGAAGAAGAAGAGCTGAAGAAAGAAAACCCTGTTTTAAGGCAAAGCTTCATTTTAGATGATCATGACAAAGAGGAGCATATGTTTAATTCACAGCCTGGTCGCTGCCACAAGAAGCTTGTAAGTATTTGAAATAGAAGATATATTCATTAGATTTGCATGTGATATGACAATTTGATGACCAGAAAAGCTTTCTTTATTTGCAGCCCCCCCCGCCCTTTTTTTTTTTTCGTTTCTTCTTGCATGCTTTGGATTAAGTTGTTTTAAAAAGCAATCTGAAAGTTAGATTTTTGTTACCAGAGTGAGATAGAGCTATATGGACTGGAAAGCAAGGTCCCAAGTGGCTGTCAGCAACATAATTATGGCACATCATAAAGCTCTGCACTTACAACTGCGGTAGAATCTATCAGCGTCTCTATTGTGCTGCATAAACAAACATAAAATCCTGTAAGGTTTAGGATTTCCCTAATGACCTTACCTTTCTTTTTTTTTTTTTGTAGACACAGATAATTCTCTGACCTAGGTGTTTAGGGTTGCAGCTAGTTCAATATTAAGACTTCTAATGTGCAAAAATAAGCATTTAGTACCATTTTGGATGTTCTTGGGCAGGTTGCATATCCTGGATATCTTTGGCATTTATGGCACATCTTCCAGCACTGTCTGGATATCTCAAATTTATTGTAGCATCTCAAGTGCTACTAAATTCCTGGATTCAGGCAACTGTATTGCACTCCAGGCTTTTGTTTGCTGGTGTCTACATGTGATTTGTGTTCTAAAGTGTCAAGAGTGGAATGGAGATTTTTTTTTTTAGTCACAAATTGATATTTGGTGACATTAGAGGATTTCTAGAGCATCTTACTTGTTCTCCACCTACTCTAAGGAAGGGTTCAGACATGATGTGTCATGTCTGCTTAGTCTCAGACTGTGGATGCCTAAGATACCAAATGTCTCAGTAGACCATCTCAAATGGCTACAGACACTTATGTTTAAGTGAATCAAAGTTATCAAAGAAACAAACATCAATTATAATGGGATTTTAGATGCATTATGCACAAATAAAATGCAGATGTCTGAATACTAGGCTGAATCCCACAAGTGCTATTTCATGTCTTGATTACAGCAGTGACTTCTGGCTTCTCTGGTCATCATTCCTTTCTAAATCCATTAAGAAATTACTATTAAGACTTGTAATTCCTGCTTGGATTTTTTTTTCACAGTACCTTTGACACTGGTAAAATGCCATATATCTCAGGAAAAATCCTTATTATCATGTTACCAATGGTCCTGCATCCATGCAGAGTATAGATTTGTTACTTTTTCAATGCTTAGACCATGTGTGCGTCTTCACTCGGCATGGTCAGTGTGTGTGTGACTGCACCTGGGATATTGTGTTGAGTTTTGAGCTCTCCAGCAAGGGAGTATGTTGAGATATCCCACAAACCCAGTGGAGGCCACCAAGATAATTAAGCAGCTGTAGCACATGATATGTGAGGAAGGCTGGAGAGGTTGGACTTGTTCAGCCTGAAGGAGAAAAGAAAAAGGGAAGAAACTGATTCTTGCTGTCTACTAATATCTAATGAGAATGTATAAAGAGGAAGAAGCCAAAATCTTCTTACAGGTGCAAAGTGGAAGGTCAAGGGGAACAAGTTGCAATGAGAGAAATTCCACTTAGTTATTGAGTGGAAAAAAAAATCACCGTGACAGAGGTGATTCAGATAGATCATTCAGAGAAATTTTTAGGTCTTCTTTTTTGGAGCTATTCAGAGCATAGCTGGAAAAGGCTCTACAGTTGAAGTTGTCCTGCTTGGAGTGGTGGAGTGAGAGGACTTCTAGAGAGCCTACTCAACTTGAATCTCACCGAGTCATTTTGTCAATATCTAAAAAGAAAGCTTTTAATGCCCTTATACTGGTTCAGCAACAGCTGTTCTCTCGTGACTTAAACCAAACAGCATCCACTGGAAAAACAAATGCTGCAAAATCAGATGTTTATGTCCAGACAACAGCTTGACTGAAACCCAGCCACGCCTTTGATAATGCATTCTGGAATTTCAGACTAGTCTTCATTCACCTTCTGAGATGTATTTCTTCCTTTCATTTCTTTTGTGATCATTTACTGTGACTGATCAGGATCTCTAAATGTGAAGAGATGGAAAGCATCACATATTATCACATCATTTTGATATCAACCCTCACCCTTCTGTCTGCCAACGTATTTTCTATGCCCTCCATGACAGTCTGTTCCAGATTCTTCTTTCTTCTGGGAGAATATCAGAATTGTTCCCACCCATCTGACAGAAAATGGAAATATTCCAGTAGCAGAGCTAAAGGAGTTATGACCCAACTTCCTTCCTTTGGAAAAGTGTCCCTGTAGGGGAGTTTTTATCAGACATGTCATCCTAGCTAAAATGGATTAGGTTTTTGTTCTGGCAGTCAGCATGGTCAGAATTTCTTCTGAATTCTGTGATCCTAGCTATATTAAATTATGTGTCTGAGCTGAAGGAGTCAAAATCATCCACTTGGTGGCAATTGCCATTTGTCATCTCCTTTAGTATAGTATTTGCTTCTTATAGAGATCATTAGTGTTTTCCCTGCTGTGTTACGAATGTTATGCCATTTCGTAACCTAATTTGGTTCTGCTTTACTTAAAGGCAACACTCTGTTGCAATCCAGGGTAGTGTATTATTATACCCATTGAGGGAAAAGTAAAGTCTTTTCATAGCAGGTGTCATATCTTCTATAAATGTAAAAATCACTTATTATGACTGATTATCCCTTTTTAATATTTTTCTTCTAAGTCTGTGACTGTTGCAGGAGAGGACTGAGCCAGGAGGTAAATTTGATTTAGTTCCTAGACCGTACTTCTCCAAGGCTGCCAAATCTGCACAGGCTGGATACCAAATGCAATTTGTATTTTTACATTTCAGAAATAACATTTTCAGAGCCTTCCCAAAGTGCCTTCCCTTCCCTGTGTGCAGAGTATGGCAGAGTTATGAATATCTCTGTATAGGAATTCTTAAAAAAAGGTAATTAAAACCTGGCATGAGAAGTGTTAAGTGGAATCCACTTTTCAGGAGTATATTCTGCAGAGTTTAAACTACATTGCTGTGCTTGCTAACAGATGTCTCTACACTATGTGCATGAATAATTCCAAGACCCTGGTCCAGGTAACTGTGACTATGTGAGATCCTGGTTGTAGTCTTATGCTGTCTTACGCACACTTAGAGATGATCATTTGACAGCAGAAGAAGCCAGTTTTCAGTCAAGGTTCTTCAAGATGGCTAGTCCACCTGTACACTCGCTTCCTTTCGCTCCCCTACACCTCAGTTCTCACTTTGTCCTACAAATGTTGCTATTCCATATCTAAAAAAAAAAGAAAAAAAAAAAGAAAAAGAAAAAATAATAAAGAAAAAGAAAAGGAAGGCTTAGAACATGTTCTAAGCAGTGTGTGCTGCTCCAGTGTAGAGTTCTACCATTAGTCATATAAACTGCATCAAACATGGCACTTTGTTTCATGTTGTGACAACTACTGGTAGTACTTAGCTCTGCTGCAAATGAAGGCTCTTCACACAATGTGCTCTCTACATTAATCACAAAAAGAGGCTAAGGATACTAAGTCAAAAAGGAAAAGCATATTGGCTAGAAACTTTTAGGTAGGATGTAGTCAGTTCTATAAGAACCCAAATGGGCTATTTCTCTAGTGTATGCCCCTATTTTAATTTCCAATTTGTCAGAGGAGTCCTCATCACTTCAGCTAGAGATAGATGAGCAGCAGTAACCAGTTCAGTGTTGGGGAATGCTCTTAACCTTTCTAAAAACACTAACTCTGAATGCTTCTGAACAGATGTGAATTTCAACGAAAAGATTAAGAACTTTAGTCAGGCTGGCACACAAGCTTTTCTAGGTTTGTCTCCTCTGAAACACCAAATATTGTAGAAAGGAATGTAAGGACAAGTTGCATCAGTGTCTGGGATGTGCTAAGAATAGTCTAATTGAATATTTTAGATTCTGAAAAAATACAGATAGAAAAATGACCATTTTAACACTTTATGGTTAATTGATTTTATATGTCTATTCCATTACAGTTCTATCAGCTAAGTTTTGCTTAGCTTTTCAAGTCATTAAAACACCAGAGAGATAAAAAGAAATAATTATTATTAAACAAAATAGGCCAAGGATATCAGTTTCATTCCCTGAATAATAGTTTTATAGAATATGTTCATAAAAACCATATTATCATAAAAGTTAGAAATAATGATAAGACATATCTTTACTTACATTCCCTCTACACAGAGGGAAAATGAAAAAAATCAAGTTGTACTGAAGGGGAATAGTAAGATGCTGTGTGTGTGTGTCAGCTGGTAGTTCTAATTATGTACTGGATCTTTGTTCTTTCTGGTTTTCCCTACCTCAGAGTCTCACCTGTTCTTTGCAACCTGTGTTTTACAATTGTCTACTTAGACTTTATAAAGTGTGTGTGTGGGCGTGTGTGTTAATGTGCCATTAATGGAATCTTTGATAATCATTTTGAGGAACTTGGGAGGACATCCTAATCGTTCCAAGATCTGCTACAGGCCTTTTCTGCTCACAGTGTCAAAAGTTTTGGTGAGGTCAATGAAAGTTACACAGAGTCCTTTGTTCTGTTCCCTACACTTCTCTTGCAGCTGTCTGAGAAAAAAAAAGCTGTCTGAGAACAAATACCATGTGAGTGGTACTCCTGTTGGCTCTGAAACCACATTGGCTTTCAGGTAGAAGTTCTTCTGAGATAGCTGGTACTAGTCTGTTCAAAAGTATTCTTGCAAGGATTTTACCAGCAATAGAGAGCAAAGTAATACCTCAGTAATCAATAAATCTTAGTTAAATAGCCAAGAATTTATTCAACACTAGTGTTCTTTTTGTATGTACTTTTTATCAGTCACTAGAAACACAGAATGATTTTTTTCCTTTGTTCCGCCACTATTGGTTCTATGCTTCTTATATAAGGGCATTATTATTATTGTTAAATATTTTCAAAAGCAAACAACTTCTTGGAAAATATTGCTGGTTTTGATGAAAAGTCCGTTGCCTTCAAAGGCAAACAATGATATTTTTGTATTGTTTTGTTTTACATTCTTCAAGAAAGGTAAGGCTTCATGATAACGTGTATTTAGAAAGATATATTCATCTTATTCTAGGCATAATTATTATATTATTGCCTATATTGCCTTGTTAATCTGTCTTCTATTGTCTTTCTAACTAAAGAGGCAGATACTGCTGTCCTATGAATTGTCAGTGGATTCTATTAACGATCCTTTACGAAGACAGAGGTTAATGAGTGCAGCCACTGTTATTACAGATAATTTGCGTAAGTCATTCTTTAGAGTGTTTTTCATACCATATTTGTGTAACTTGACCTAAGAGATTAAAATATTGCAGTCAGCATTATTTTAAAAGTCACTAAGGGAAATTATCCTGCAATCTAATGTAAATATCAGTAAAATATGTATTCTCATATCTTATGTAACTGTAACTCGCAGTTGCCAAGGGTAAATTATGCCTGACCACCTTGATTGCCTTGCACAATAGAATGACTGGGGTTTGTGGATGAGTGGAGAAAAATGTTTTCATTTACCTTGACTTTGTCAAGGCTTTTGACACTGTCTCCCATGATATTTTTTCATCCCGATTAGGGTGTTAGGGTCTGTGTGGGTGGACAACCAGCTAGACAAGAAAAATGGTTGGATGTTTGAGCTTTGAGCGTCCAGTAAAAAGGTCATGTTCCATCTGGAAACAGATAACAAATGGAGCACCACAGGGGGTGTCCTAGGACACGCTTTGTCCTAAGTAACCTGGACAAGGCAACAGAGGACTTGCTACTTGTTCAGTAGAAGGCTGCCAAGTCCGTTGGCTGGAGCACTTGCCCAGTTCTGGGCTGGTTCAGCCTGGAGAGAAGGTTTTGGAGGGAAGTTATTATCAGCCTTCCAGTGTGCAGAAAGATTATCAAGAAGATGGAGCCAGTTTGTCCACAGTGCTACGCAGTGGGAAGGTGAGACAACAGACATAAATTGAAAGAAGAGAGCTTCAAACTCTATGTAAGGAGAAGCTTTCACCACGAGGACAATCAGACAGAGGACATCTCACCTCAAGGTTGACCCTGCTTTGAGAAGAGGGTTATAACAGAGATCTCCTGAGATCTCCTCTAACTTGACTTCTCTTGTGACCCTATCCTCAACAATAGACACCAAGATATGGGGGATGCCCGTCTCCATTTTATCCTGGACTTTTATTGAACTCATGTTGCACCTGTGATTTCACAGAAACAACTCACACAGAACAAATTGTCAGTTTCCCAGAGACAATTATTTCGCCTTAATGCAGATGCTTTATCATCCTTCAGTAGTAAAATAAACATATGAAGAGGTGGGTAATATCACCTGTGTCTGTAATTATGAGATTTGGTGGTGGTGACCTTTCAATAGCCTGTGATTAGTTTGTATAGAATGAATGAAACTTTTTTTTTTTTTTTAAATGATGCCGTTCTGCTCACGAGATAGATTTTTCTCTTCAATCTTTTTTATGACTGATTGTCTTTTTCTTCACACTATGATATTCTACCTAAGATTATCCATATATCGCTTTCTCTCTTTGTCATTTAGAACTGCAAGAGTCAAAAATGAGATGCCCTTCATTATTGAAACGTTTTGCTCGAAAGTATCTCATTTGGAATTGTTGCCCATTCTGGAGACTAGTAAAAGAGAAGGCGAAATTAGTGATTTTGGATCCATTTGTTGATCTCTTAATCATGGTTTGCATTATTGTGAATACCTTATTCATGGCTCTGGAGCACCCTGACATGTCAAGCCATTACCGAGATATGATTTATATAAGTGACAAGGTGAGTTAGGTCTATGGTAGAGTCACTATGGAGTTATAAACCCATATTTATACTGGAACAGTTCCATAAGGAGACACACTTTTTTTGTGAGTTTCAACTGAATTTCTTTTTCGTCTTTCCAGGTCTTCACCCTGATTTTTACAGCAGAAATGATCCTGAAGATCATTGCTCTAGATCCTTACAACTATTTTCAGCAAAAATGGAATATTTTTGATAGCATAGTTGTTATGATTGGCCTCATAAGCTTTAAAGAGAACCTGTCATCTTTCAGGCTGGTAATTCTTTATTCTTTTTAAAAAGTACATGTGCTGTATAGCTTTTTTGTAAAAATTTACAGTGAAATACTTTTTCTGATGAATATGTTAAATAAGTTTTGTTGGTAAATAGTAACCAGACATGAATGTTTAAGTAGAGCAAATATTAAATTAATATTAAAGAGTACATTTATTATGTTTATTATACTGTGTATGTCTCTGACATGATGCACCCTCTTGGAGGTTTGATCTAGCAGTGAGTTCACTGGTTCTCTGTTAGGTCTCTACAGTGGCTCTTCTCAGCTGTATTTCAGAATTTAATTAGGAAAAGACATTATCTGAGTGTTTTCATAAGCTTAAGGATAGCAAATGTTCCTTCATAGCTTTTCTTTTTTGGTTGAAATTTGGAAAATAGCTTTCCTCAAGGCTATCCTCCATCTTAGAGAAAAGGAGTAGCAGCTCTGAGATGTCTGTGTAATGTAAATTTTTTGCTTACATCCTTGCTGTGCATTTAGAGTGTTGTATTTGCAAATTACCTCTAATATTCTTCAAAGCTTTTCAGAGTCATCGCATCTAGAAATTTGACATCTTAGGTATCATGACTGAGAAATTTTAACAGCCCTGAATGCTACTTTAACTAAAAAATGTTCTTTTTACTCATAAGGGTGCATAGGATAGATCCCATATGGCTTTCCAGATCCTATTTTAAGTCTGTTTGCTAAAAGGTAGAAAAAATAAGTTATTCAGTTTCTGTCTGATTACGTTTGATTTGGTCCAAAATGCAGACATTTCATAAGCCTTGTCCAAGTACTTATAAGCCACTTCATTGTTACCATTATTATTGCTCTTAATATTAATAGACTTACACATGCTCATATCTAACTGCGCAAACAATTTGAAATTTTCCTTTGGCAGTTCTCACTAACTTTAACCATCTGAGCTTAAGCACAGCACTTTTGGATGAGAACGATTAAAAACCTTTCTTTGGGGGAAAAAATTATGATGATGTTACAGAAGTAAAGAGAGCATGATGAATGCAGGGTCTGTTTTTTGTGTGCTGTGCTATCTATGCGGTGTTGCCACTCACATTGTTCTCTTTTGTTTTATTTACAGCTCAGGATCTTCAAACTGGCAAAGTCCTGGCCAGCCTTAAATACTCTAATGAAAATAATTCTAAACTCAGTTGGTGCTCTGGGTAACCTCACTCTGGTTTTAATTATCACTGTATTTATTTTTGCTGTAGTAGGAAAGCAGGTTTTGGGCAGTTATTATGATACAAATTACATTAAAATAAGCACTGATAAGGATTTACGTTGGCATATGAAAGATTTTTGTCATTCGTTCCTGATTATATTCCGAATATTATGTGGAGAATGGATTGAAACCATGTGGGAATGTATGGAAGTGGCTGGAAAAGGGCTCTGTCTTCCCATTTTCTTACTAGTCCTGGTGATAGGAAACCTGGTGGTGAGTTTCAAGCTATCTTTCAGTCCCTACTGAATGTATTCAGTTACAATGGCATTATTTTTCTGAGGCAAACTTCACTTTTTCCACACTATTCTCTTTTCCAGATGTTACTTAATATATGTTTTTCTTCTATCTCTTTTTCCTTTTCTCGTCTTCCTCTTTCTTACACAAGAGGTAGCTGCTAGGCAAAACCCACAAAATTATTGCTTCTACCCAGAGTAGTGAAGTGCAGTGCTTTTGATAGCTTGGTGTCTGATCTTTTTCATTTTCTTATGTTGCTAGAATCAAATAACCAAACTGTTCAGTGCTTTTAATGCTTATCAACTTATATTATCAAAATCTTAGATTACCCAGACTTTTCAATTTGTGTGATATACACTAATTCTAACATATATATACTGGAAGACGAAATCTTATCCATCTGCTTGGTCTTTTGGTATATACCAGATCCTGTTTGATAGTGATGTTGTTAAAATTTATCTTTACCTGCTGCTTTTCAGCATATCTACCTCATCATACTTTATGAACATCAGAGCATGTGAAAAAATATTTCATAAACTCAAGCCCTCACTTCTTTACTTCCAGAAGAAGCCGTATCATACCATGTTAATATTCTAGTACAATAGTAAATAATTTCATTGAAGTGGTCGATGAAATTGAGATTGAGGGTTTTTTTTATGTAAGGAAGGTTTTCCAAAATGTCTTTTCTGTTAGCAGTAATGTCTTCATCTTACTTTAATTGTTTTAAGGTGCTCAACCTATTCATTGCCTTGCTGCTGAGTTCCTTCAGTACTGACTCCTCGATGGGACAAGAGGAAAGTGGACAGATGACTAAGTGTCAGATTGCCATTGCACGGATTCACGAGGGTCTGCAGATTGCAAAAGGCAGAATTTTGGATCGTTGTGGCAAAATAATGAAACGAAGGCTCAAACCAACAGCAAAAAGGACGACTTTGGTGAAAATTTCTGCCAAAGACATAGAGGAAAATAACTATGCCATGACAGATGTCAGAAAGGAGATAGACAACACTTGCTTTGACATTGAGTATTGCAATACTGAAGAGAGGTCCTCAGTAACAAGGAAATACGAAGAATTTGTAACCAGTCGTAGAACGTGTGTTCCAGTTGCAGTAGCAGAGACTTACTCCGATGAAGGTAATGATGAGCACACTGTACGCACAGAAATAGAATACAGAAAACAGGTAAGGGATATTAATATTTAAAAATTATTGCTAAGTTGCATCTGTAAATGAAATCTCAAAGACTCCACATCAATGCTATCCCTTCTGCCATTTCACTTTCTTTTTTATTCTAGTAGCTTCCAAATGCAAGAGCTACCAAATAGTCTTAGTTATTCAGTAAGAAGTTGAATATCCACTTTTCCATCATTCTCTCTGGGGCTCTGAGCAACCTGATCTAGTTAAAGCTGTCCCTGCTTATTGCAAGAGGATTGGACTAAATGACCTTTCAAGGTTGCTTCCAACACAAAACATTCTATGACTGATTGATAGCCATAACTCTGCTTCCGTATGTTTTATTTCCATGTATTGCTGTCAGTTGCTAAATGAAGTGTGATCAAGACAGAAATTCTTTCTTTTTGTCACTTTTTCCTTACAAATAGCACCTGGAATTTTTGGAAGGCAGATGTCTTGTGTAGCTTGTATATTCCTTCTCAGTTGCATGGAACCTGGAGGGAACACAAATAAAAGCTTCACCTTAAAAATACTTTTAAATTTTTTTCCCCCCTCAAATCCTCATAGTATGCTGTGATACTTTGGACTTCTGTTTATCTCTTTTGATTTTGTTGTGTTGTACAACATTAAGCTCGTCTTAGTCACTTAAATACTGATACCTAAATACAGGGTTTTGCACGTGAGTGAGATGTATGTGCTGCTCTGCTAGTCAATAACGGTGCATTTCATTTGCCTGTAGAGAGGCATTTAAGGTTATTTGAGATACTTCAGGTGTCTGTCACATCCACATAAGGTTGACAGATTAGACACAGGAGCTATAGGAACTCTTTTTGTTATACAGAGACACCTCAGGTGACACTGAGTATGAGCCACAATTAGATTAACCCATTTTGATATCTGCATCTCAAGATTCCATGTACTACTCACTTTGTAAATGTCAAGTGCCATTTGAGGTGCTGGATTGTCTCGTAGTCTTCTAAATGCACCTGCAGAAAGGTGTTTGTCAGTTCCTGTAGATCCTGTGCTGTATTTAACTATGCCATGTGTATAGGGGTCTTACGTACCCCTAGGAATTATAAAAGACACTGAGCAGTTTAGGGTAAGCAACTGAAATAAACCCTTTGTGTCCTCATTGCATTCATTGCTGCTTGTCCATATTACTCGTATGTTGCCCACTTTTGTACTTTATGTTTTCTCCCATTTTGCTTACTTGATTGTTTTTTTCACTATTTTTCCTTTCTTGTCTTCTCTCTAATCACACGCTGTACTTTTAATAAAATGGAATTTTACCCGATTACTTTCTATTGAGGAGAGTGATATGTCATGACAAAATTCTGTTTGTGACAGCATCATTAATTATATGTGATGTGATTGCTTAGAAAGGATATGAATGCTGGTTTGAACGTGATGATCTATCTGCACTAATGCATTTTACTTTAGAATCATTGGGTAATCCTCTGAGATTCTTATTCCCATATAAATATTTTTGCCTGTAGAAGGTAGGGGTGATACCTGTTAGCTTATTGACAGGACTGCAGCTGTGTATGAAACAGTAGTAGTTTCAGCTCAGCTCAGCACACAAAGATCTCAAGGTAATTTCTTTCAGAAGCCTGCCTAATTCACAGGCAGTAGTAGTAAGAAGCAGTTAGACTCCAATATACCTTCCCTGCAATCTTTTCCTAGAAGGTGAACAGCAAAAATATTAACCCCTCTCAGACCTGTGCTAAAGGAAGTACCAGTAGAAGCTGGCTTGTACAACAGAAGAATGAGCTGGTTTGCGGTTCTTCACATAAAGCAAGATAGAAAGCCTGTTACAGAAAGTAGCTTATGATTTTCATTTCAGTAGTTTTATTAATTTCTTCCTATTTCTCCCACTACTATGTTCATGTATACATGAGGTTTTCTAAGATGTTGTGCTTTTGTACTTCATAGGTAAAAGTGATAGCGTGGCATTATGAGGTTTAGCTCATGTTAAAAAAGTATGTGAGCAGCAAGTGGAACACCAGGCTTGGATGGCTATACTAGTTAAAGTGTGTATTTTCTGAGCGTCAGTTGTGTTATGATTGTGATATCACCAAATTTTACATCTATCAGAACGAGTATTTGAGCACAAAGTGCGGTTACCTAGTAGTATGTCATGGCAGAAGCATCAAAATCAGGTGCTATTTCTGGATGGATTATCATATGGTCAGTGTCTAGATGGACTGGTGGGATCTGTTTTCTGTGGTTTTGATCTTAAGAGGAGGCATCATCAGTGGAAAGTCTTTGGACCAGTTCTCAAAGAAGCGGAAATTTCTGATCACCTTAGAATCATCTGTGACTGTTTGAAATGTGTTGTCCATAAGCATTTCATAACAGGAATTGTTTCTCCGCTGAAGCAAAATCTCGTATTGCTTGGAGTTTGTAGTGACAAAAGGACTAGGGGCTGATTGAGATTCCTTGGCTCTTCTACCTGAAAAATATCGGGGTCCAGCTGCTGAGCCAATTCCTCATAGCTTTGTGAACTGGATGCAGGAATCCATCAGAGGGCTAAATGTAGATCTTGAGGGATGATACATTTCCGCAGTAAAACCACAGGGCCACAGGATTTGAAATCAAGGAGGAACCCATTCTTTTATGAGCCTTTTAAAAAAATATTATTTAATTATCTGTAAAAAAGACAAACATGTTAAGTTTTGTGGGTGCTTTTAATTCTATTAAAGAATTTTGACTTTTAAGAATGACCACCAGGGATCAAAACATGGAAAATCAACTGTTTTGTGTTATTTCATGCAGGGAGACAGATTAAGACGTAGAGAGCCACGCCGGAGTTCAAGTGGCTTCAGTCAGATTTCTGGGACTTCTGAAAGTTTAAGTGGTTTTTCAGAAACTCAGCAAAAGAAAGAGCAAAAAGAGGTAATTATAATTTCTATCATGTTGTGGAATATGCTAGAAATTAAAAATATCACAATGGTTCTGTTGTTCAACAATGATAGGACAAGCTGGGATTTTCCAAAGAGTAGAAAGTATAATCCCTGTGAAGATGATACATCTCTAGAGGTAATAATAAGTTTGTTTCTCCTAAGTAGCCATGGCTTACAGCCTAACATAATGTACAAAATAAGTAAACGGAAATTAACCAAGAAACATGCTTACTTTAAACATAGCTGATACATACTGCCCATTTTTATAGATAATTCTGTTTCTTTCCTGCTAGGCCTTCCCAACTTCAAGCCTTTTGAGACATGGTTTATATCTCTGAAAATTAAGAGAATTGGACTAGCATGAAGAAATCAGAGTTTTCTCTGAAGTTGTAATGTAACACAATCTCTTCTAAACATTTTCCTTCCTGCAAGTCCAATGTAGATGACTACAAGAAGCCAAGAAACTTATTAAATTAAAGCCGTAGAAACGAAGAGTAGAGATCAGCCTTTTCTATGCTGTTATTTGAGGTTTCATTTTGTTAGGTCAGCAATATTAAGATAATTATGTGCTGCAGATTATTTTTTAGGACAGTGTTTGATAATTAGATTTATTTTAAATCTGGTAACCTTATTAATGAGAAACAAATTTTCTTCTTTGCCCTTTACCTGTGCAGAAATGTGATGCTGGTAGCTATTCTGACGCCAGCACTGTGGATCCAGTTATTCTTCTGGAGGTATTTCCCCAGCCTAAAAAGTCACACTTGCCTAAGGACTGTTTTGCAGAAGGTAAGAATCTTGTATGTACTGTGGTGACACCTAATGAACTGATATTCAAAGATATCTATTTGGAACTTTTTCAAATTGTCAGAAACTGTTTGCCTGAGACACTGGTTTCTAAATACAATAAATCAATTAAATATACCTGAAGCCAGCACCAAACTGGAGCAGGGTTGAGATGCTGAACACAGGTGTTTAGAACCATCTGAGATGCTGGAGAGTGTGCAAAACAACTGCACGGAGCTGGCAGAACTCTCCCAGAAGCTCTAGGATATCCAAAGAAGCCTAAAATTGTTCTAAAGCCCTGTGTTCAGGCAGCAAAATGCCATCTCTGGAGTGTGAATCACTCTCCTATTGAGGCACCAGACAGTAGGTATTTGAGCAAGGGCACTCAAAGCACCTCTGAAGGGGCAGATGGGGGTCAGTCGGGATACGTACGTCGATACCTGGTATCTTTATCTAAAATTTGCCTGAGCTCCCAGTTCAGTGGGTGATTGTCTGGTCAATAGAGCTAATGGAGTTCAGAGGACTGTACAGCTCATCCCAGTGTGGTCGCCTACCTTCGATTGCTTCCTTAGACCTCACTGAACGTCACGGTTCAATCCCACTGCCTTTGCAGATTAATGAAGAAGGGTAGTTTTCGTGCAAAACAGGGAATGGAGAATCTAGTTGTAATGTCTCTGCAATGCAATCGAGTGAAATAATGAGTTAAACTAATAATTCGCTAAACCACTAGTAAGGCAATAGTTATTTTCAAAATAAAAAGAATAAATACAAAAAAAAAAAGCGGTTTTTAGATAGAAGAAATGGCCTTTTTTGTTTGTTTTCCATCACCCCATAGGTAAACCTGCACATTCTTTGTATAGGCTGTAGAAGCTGATATTAATATCTTACAATTTTTTATTTTCCACATTTTCCATGGAACAAATGTGCTGTTCTTTCTCTTTTCAGGTTGTGTGGAATGTTTCCCATGTTGTGTAGTGGATGTCACTAAGTTTCCAGCCAGCACTTGGTGGAAATTTAGAAAAACCTGCTACAGAATTGTTAAACATAGCTGGTTTGAAAATTTTATAATTTTTATGATAGTACTGAGCAGTGCAGCACTGGTAAATTTAATTTAATTTCTCAAATTTTGAATCTATGGTTGTCACTAAAGGAAAAGAATTATATTAGTATATTCAATTTATTTCTTTTACTCTCACATTCCTTCACCCAGGGAGAGACAAGAATATAATAAACATATACATTAGAAGTTATAAGGGTCTCCTCAACTTGGATAAGATATTTAAATATATGGAATCATAGTCATCTTCACAGTTCTTCATGGAACATGGTTCTTCACATATTTGTGTGCTTGATTAGGAGGCTGAAACAGGGTTTGAAATTATTTAGGAAAGCTTAAAAAATAAAAGTACTTCTAAATTTGTAAAGTAGACTAACTTCTGAGTAAAATTAAGATGATTAGAATCTAAACGTGAAGATGGCTGTAAAGTGGTAGGTGACAATGTCTTGTTGCCACTCCAATTATATCCATTTCTACTGAAGAAATTTTTGACTTGAAAACATATTCACTAAGTCTACTGATAGTAATTTGTTAAATAAAACATTACATAGTGCAGAAGGAACAAACAAACTGGTGTGAAAGTGATCTATATGATAGATGTCAGAATTTTCCAGATAAAATCTGTTCTGTGTGCATTAAGTTTAACTTGTCCACTGAAGCATAGGTTTGGACTATCTGCTTTAAAATTTCTATGGCAAAAATTTCCAAGGGAACTCCCTGGGATTTCTCTTAGGGCTCCTCTCTATTAATGTGGAACCAAACTCAAGTAAGGAAAGAAACTGAGTAATTATTTATCATCCTGTAGGATCTGGCAAAGTTGAACACAAAACAATAGCAAAACAATAACGATTTCATCAAAAAAGTTCCACATTTCTAAGATACTCTTGTCCTCTTGGAAAAAGGGACTTGTCCATTCTCTGTTTATAAAATTGCTTGCCAATATGGAATTTCCTGAGTTCCACAAAAAAAAAAAGTTCCAAAAAAGTTGTCCTCTTGGAAAAAGGGACTTGTCCATTCTCTGTTTATAAAATTGCTTGCCAATATGGAATTTCCTGAATCGGCTAGAATGAAGGGATCTCATACCATCAGGCAGATCCATGGCTCGAGAGTAAATTAAAGGATAGCAATCATAGAACAAATGCGTAGAAAAGTATGTGGTGAGTTGTCAGTGCTCAGAGCAAAGGGAGAGTTAGTAGTCAGAAGTCTGAAAGAACATCACTGCTAATGAATGGGGGCTTTGACTAGCAGATGGAAATCAAAGTAACTGTGAAAAAGACAAGGCTGATTATCAGACTTGCTCAGAAAAAAAGGTTTGAAATGGTAAAGAGATTTATGGACATGAATGCCACTTCTCAGTTACCCAGAGTCAAATTGCTAGTCCTGTAGGACTAGAGGAAGCCCCATCCCTGGAAGTTTTTAAGGCCAGGCTAGGTGAGGCTCTGGGCAGCCTGATCTAGTGGCAGGGGGGCCCGGCCCTGGCCGGGGGTTTGGAAGCGAAGGGTTCATGGCAGGGGTTTGGAACTAGATGGTCTTTAAAATCCCTTCCAGCCATGACAATTCTATGATTCTAAGTGACAGCTCTGCTCTGTAGAGATTTATCCTAATTCTAGGCACAACTGAATGACCACTGCTTCAAAGACCACTTAGCTCCAGAAGCAGCGTCACTGTTTTCTTCACTGCAGAGGGCATCAGTTTTACCAGATTGTTGGTAACTATACAAAGGAGCAGCTCTGCCCTGTGTTTGTTCAGTGGGAGTATAAAGAGAGACACAGGAATGATTTTAGATGAGTTTACTGTGTCAGGGCTCACTTGATCCAAATACCTGGTTATGCTCCTGCCACCTTATCAGTGGCCTTTTAGACTGTGTTTAGCATGTCAAAAATTCAACGAAGCAAATCAGATCTGCTATAATACATACATAATGATCTTCTCCTAGAGCACTGGAGACACATAGCAGAGACACTCAAGTGTTTCTGCAAGAAATATTTAATGTTTTAATGTGACTGTGATAAACTGTAACTGTTAAGACCTGCTGGAGCTGAGGTCATCCTTGCAAAACTGTTGTGCTGTCTTGGCTACTGTGCTCCCCTGAACCAAAATTTGTGGACCATCTGGGTCAGGCTCCCATGTAACACAGCCTGCTGTTTCCTTAGAGAGTGTTGACTGCTTATGAACTTCCTAAAAAATAATAACAGAATAAGAGGTTTCACAGTCAGATAAGGAGCTGTTAAGAGAAGGACTGGTGTAGATTGAAAGTGAATATGGATTTAAGTTTTGACACCCTCTATTGCATTCCTGGCCTTTGTCACAGACTACAGCCATGTGACTTGGAGCAAATGAATTGATCTCTCTGTGCTTCATTTGCTCTTCTATAAAATAAAGATTCATTTTGTTTTGACATCCTGGGAACCTGGGATGGTGTATTCCTCTTAAGAAGACAGAGCCTATAACTTCTCATTTCAACTTTTTTGCTTGTCTGAAGGCAAGAAATAAGACAGAAAGTTAGCAGCTCCAGAGGCAATGTCAGGCAAGAGGACGCAGATTTGAATAAGGATAAGAAAAAGGAAAGTAGTTTAATTCCCTGATGTGTTCCAGAGACACACTGAGCATTTGAGACAGAGTGCAAAAGAGAAGGATACAAGGATACTAGGAACTGTAGAGTGGGGGAAAGAGACTTCTGATATGTCTACATAAGTAAGAAAAAATTTAAGTAAAAGTAATGAGAGACATGGACTTGTAAGGGGAAGATTGTGGTGGTGAAAATGGATGGATAGGTCACTAGAAATGTTGACAGCAAAACAGAAATAAAGTGGAGATTGAGCTATAAGGTAGGGGAGAAAAGAATGAAAGGAAGAATAAAGACATTGCCAGAGGCTTGGTGAGGAAATAACGCAAAGTGTAAAAAGAATTTGGAATGGATTGGGAATATCAAAAACTTGAAATGAATTAGCAAGGCAGAAGATGTATTAAACATGAGTCAACAGTGCCATAAACTATAGGAATCAATAAAACAATTTCCTAAACCCTTACTGACATCAAAGTAATGTCAAGGTTTAGGTGAAAAAATATGAAACTCTAGGAGTTAACAGTTCCAGAGAAGAAGTTTGTCATATTTTTTCATATCAGTATTACAACTCTGCGGGGTGCCTAAAGATGACTGTTTTAGAAGGTCTGTATCTGAAAGACATTGGCTAATGTGTTCAATTCAAGCTTTATTATGAAGAATTTTAGGCCAACACCTTCAAAATTATCCACTAACTTGGGAAGTCAAATTTTTGGTAGCCATATTTGACCCTCATCAGATATTTTTTGAAGAAACGTTGAGAGTAAAGAACTGAAAGTATGTGAACTGAAACTGAGATTGTACTTGTTTTGCAATTAAGGTTTTTACTTACAGGTATAAAACTAAGTGGTAGTTGCTCATAATTTAATATATAATGATTTTAGTAGGTAAAACTGTGTTCATGTGCAATTTAAAAATAATTTTCCATAAAACTACTGAACTGTTTTAAAACCGAATTCTAAAATTCCAGGCATTTGAAGATATTCATCTGCGGGAGAGAAAAAATGTGAAAATGCTCCTAGAGTATGCTGATAAAGTATTTACCTACATCTTTTTTATGGAGATGCTTTTGAAATGGGTAGCTTATGGTTTGCACAGTTATTTCACAAATGCCTGGTGTTGGCTTGACTTCATCATTGTATGTGTAAGTATATTCGTCTTTTCTTACATTTTAAATTTTGATATTTTCTATATTTAGAACTACATGTAAAATCATTAGATTTTACACAAATGTAAAAGAGGGTTTCCAAAAGCTGAAAAAAATTGGAATCGAAAGAGACTTTAGGACAAATTTATATGAAAATTGTAAGTAATCATCAGAAGTTGCTTAAGAAAATTTAGTAGATATCACTGTCATTGAGGACCATGTTTTTTATAAAAACCTTTTCAAGTGTAGAGAGAGAGTGAATTAATGACACCAAGATTAATTAATCAAGACAACAGAAAAATGTGAAGCTGCTGGCAGCTCCAGCATTTAGAAACAGAAAATGTAGAGTTCCTTCCTTAAGGGAGAAGTTTAGATGGTAAAAGTGGTTGAAAAGTATTGTTGGAAAAATCATCTATCAAAGAGTTAGACGTGGAAAAGTGTGTTTTGCTTTGCAACCAAAGAAATCCTAGCAATTCTTTATATAGCTATAAAGAGAAATGCTGAAGTCATCAATAGTGAGATGGCAGAAGTGCAATGTTCAATGTATACGTATTTATTCTGAATTAAGACAAAGTTAAATAATGTGGTCTTGCCATATAAAAATGAAATATTTTTGCTTGTCAGCAATACACTGGGAAGATACTGAAGTTAAGTATTTTCAAATAAGGACATCTAAACAGCTGACTTTCAGTTCTCTCATAGTAGTTGTTGATACCTTCTGAATAAATAGCATAAGAAGTTGTGAAGTACTAGGAAAATTCAACAGAAAAATCTAGTATTATGACTATTTACAAAGAAGGTATAGCATGACGTTAGCACTTACAGTTCACAGGATCAGAGAATGTCAGGGGTTGGAAGAGACCTTGAAGGATCATCTAGTCCAGCCCCCCTGCCAGAGCAGGATCACCTACCGTAGGTCACACAGGAACGCGTCCAGGTGAGGTTTGAATGTCTCCAGAGAAGGAGACTCCACAACCTCCCTGGGCAGCCTGTGCCAGGGCTCTGTCACCTTCACAGGGAAAAAGTTTTTTCTAATATTTTTGTGGAACCTCCTGTGTTCCAGTTTGTACCCATTGCTCCTTGTCTTGTCATTGGACGTCACCGGAAAGAGCCTGGCTCCGTCCTCCTGACACTCCCCCTTGATGTATTTATAAACATTAACAAGGTCACCCCTCAGCCTCCTCTTCTCCAAGGTAAAGAGCCCCAGCTCCTTCAGCCTTTCCTCGTCAGGGAGATGTTCCACTCCCTTCGTCATCCTTGTGGCTGCGCTGGACTCTCTCCAGCAGTTCCCTGTCTCTCTTGAGCTGAGGGGACCCAGAACTGGACACAATATTCCAGATGTGGCCTCACCAGGGCAGAGCAGAGGGGCAGGAGAATCTCTCTCAACCTAGCAGTGCTGTCCAAAACAAAGGAAAAGCATGAAAATATCCAACGACTAGGCAATGAGACAACAAATTAAAATAGGAGGAAAGAAGGAAATTATTGAAACATTTTTCTAATGTTTTCAGTTCTTTTTCTCTCTTACAAAGATTTAAAATGAAGACTGTTTATCTTTTTAAAAATAATTTTTATTTCCACATCACTATCCTATGTTATGATAAGGTGTTACAGTATACACTTCTGAGAATAACTATGCAGAAAGTGGGACTATTTTATTTGAATAAAATTTTCTGGTCTCATAGCGTATGAAATTACCATAGTTACCGATTTGGTTGTTATTTCTAGCATCCAAAAAACTTGCATGAACTGTTTTTGAAAAAAAAAAAGAAAAAAGGAAAAAAAAGAAGTGTTTCAAATTAGAATGACAGATCTCCATTATTTTTAAAATACTAGGAAAGAACAAAATAAAATTATATTACGATAACTTTGAATGTGTATTTTCTTCATGAACTTACTGGTTAAAAATACAGTAACATTCAGCCTATGATTGCCTGCTGATGGAAATAAAATAGATTTTTGTGTGCCATTTAATAATCTCAGTTTCAATTCACCCAACACAGCTGTCATTTGTTTCCTGGGGACTAAATACTGTTTCTAAAGACCCCTCACCTTGTTCCTCTGGGAGTGCCCTGAAGTCTCTCAGGACTCTTAGAGCACTGAGGCCTCTACGAGCTTTGTCACGATTTGAAGGGATAAAGGTAAGGACATTTTTTGTGTGTGCGCGTGTGCATAATTTGTAATAGATACATTTGAGGTTTTTGTGAAAATCACAACCTGAAACTCTGCTTTGGGGCTTGATGTCATTAAGCTGGCTCAGATTGCCGGTTTACAGTTTATAGGTGTTATTTTGAGATGATAGACCTAACACTTTCACAGAAATTTGTAAATACAAAAATAAGGAAATAAAATAATAATGTGCCACCACAAGGAATTATTACATAATGTGGACACTGGAACTTTCTTCTGTTTCCAGTTTTAGTGCAATTTGCAACATAAAATAAACAAGATTTTTTTTTAGACGTGTACTTCTCTGAAACCCATTCTTTGGTTTACTTTACACGTGGAAAAATTTCATCCAGTATATTTGGCAAATTCTTCTGAAAGAAATTAATATACAAAAATCTTTTTAATTACTTGTTAATTAGTTATTATAGAAAACAAACTGTAATGTGAGGAAGAAACCTGTACCATCGAAGTTGTAGTTTATCGATCTTCATGGCGTAAGAAATGTCATTTCTTATTTTTTTCTCATTGCCTGAGGCAAGAGATTGGGGCATGGAGGGATGGATTCATTAATTCATTGCTTCAGTGGAAACTGTTTGCTTTATGTAACTCCTTTTCATTTAGACTGCTGTGCTTGTGTCACTTCGTCTTGACAGTTATCTAAACAGACTCGTGTGCCACATTTGGGATTCTCCAGGCTGGATCTGAAAGATAACAATCATTTCCAACTTAAATAGCATGGGATTTTCCTAATAAGAGAGGGGATTCTTCTAACTCAATTTTGAAAGCTGCTCTGAGCAAACTATCTGGAATCTTTAAAGTCAGTTGGGAGAAGTACAGAATTGTGTAATGCAAATCATCTGACCCGTGTTAGATCACAGAACGTGATGAGACACTAACTGCAGTCCTAGCAGGGATGTGGGGCAAATCCTTCTGGAAGCCATGAGGGACAAGAAGGAATCAGTTAGAAACAGACAGTGGGAATTTAGGAAGGGTGATTTTTGCCTCTTAAACCTGTTTGTCTTCTGTGGTGAGATGGCTGAGACGGAGGAGTTGTTGATTCTCCCTGGTTTGGGTAGGTGAGCTGTGAGTGCGGCAGGAGCTGCAGGTTCAGTGTTCAGAGATCATCAGGATGAAGTTCAACTGGCAGCTGGTTACGAGTGACTCAGTCCTGGGACCAATACTGCTTAATGACTTAATTAACAAGCAGAAGAATGTGGTAGAAATTGTCCTCAGCAAGTTCACAGATGATACAAAATTAAGACAAGCTTGAATTTGGGCTGAAGGCTGGCTTTACATTTATCATCTATGATTTTTTTTATATGGGTGAGAATCTCAAATAGGTACAGAAGAAGAAGGGGAAAGTGTTCTACTGAATGTGAATAAATAATTTTTTTCCATTCATTTTATTTATTTAAGGTTGTTGTGAACGCACTCTTGGGAGCTATCCCCTCAATCCTGAACGTTTTACTTGTCTGTATCGTCTTCTGGCTCCTATTTAACATTGCAGGAGTAAAATTACTTGGAAAAAAATTTTCGAAATGCATAATCCAGAAAGATTATATAAGACTAATCAATAACAGAAGCGATTGTTCCTTCTATGGTGGAACATGGACAAATAATGATGTAAACTTTGATAATGTTGGGATGGGATACTTGGCTCTTCTCCAAGTGGTAAGTTGCATAAAAAACATGATCAGTTTTGTTTTCTTCAAGGAAATGTGTTGAGCAGCCCAACCCTGGGGCACTTCCGTTTATCCCACTGAAATTGGGGTATTTTTTTGGCTTCCATAAATATTTTTCTTATCCATAAGCTGCTCAATTCCTCTTAAAGAACACTGTAGTCTTGTGTTATAGCGAAGAACTATGTTTCAAGGCTTTTCATTTTTGTTTTAATTTTGATCAAAATGCTAAGCCTGAAATAGTCTGCATGTTACTGGATTTGAAGTCATTCTCACTTTTTTTCAGTAAAAGTTAGTTCAGAGTGGATGAGAAAGAAGAAGCACAATGTGGTTTCGTTATATATTTCCTTGTACTGTGTAAATCTCGCTAATAGCACAATGAAGGAGAGAAGGGCATTTTTAGAAGTGCCTGGTATCCCTCTGTCTTCTCTAGATGGTCTCATTTGTCCTGTATCCTCCAAAGTATTCTGTGATTCTGCAGATTTGCTGAAAATTGCAGGAAGGAATTGTTTGCTTAGAAATCGTTCTTATCCCTTTAGGATGTATTTGCTAGTTAAGCTGAACCTTGTACTGCTTTATCAGAAAGCAGAGATTTTTTTTTAACAAAAAAAATTAACTACATTTAATATTAAAACACATTTCACAGGAATTGTTTTTTTTCTTTTCGGGAAACATTTTTTTTCTCTTTACTAAATTCCAGTGAATCATACTTTCAAGCAGATCTTTAGAAGTGCTGCACATTTTTTATAACATATTGCTCACTTTTCCACAACTTTTAACATATTTATATAAGGACTACCTAATTTTTATTATTTTTTTTAGTGATAGTAACTGCAATAATGCATTTTTTTCAGGCAACTTTTAAAGGTTGGATGGATATTATGTATGCAGCAGTGGATTCACGTGAGGTATGTCACTAAAATGAAATTTTAGTTCTTCTCCCTTTCTTTCTTTCCTTTTCTATCCATGCAATTAATTTTTGAGCTTTATTTCTAATATCAAGTCAGAAATACAAGTGGATGAAGTGTCAAACTATGCAGTGAAACAAAAATTGTGGGAATACCAAATATCTGGAATTCAGACATTAGAAAACTGGTTAAAATAGAGTGACACTACACAAAAAATTCTAAATCAAGAATGCAAAGGGCAAGACGTTGCAAGTTTGGGACAAGTCTGGTTTAAGAATAGAGTTCAGAGGCTTGGAAAGACTGTGCCTCTGAAGCAGATTTCTTCCTTTTTAAAGTGTGTACAACATTAAAACAGCATGCATTTTTAGCAGTTATTTCTGGAGATTTTCTTCCTTATATTTGACATCCTTACTGTTTCTTCCCCATTTCCATGCGCTGTTTCTTATTCTCTCACCAGCACAATGCTTTTAAGCTTTCCTATATTTAATATAAGTTGCATTTTCGTTATTCTTTGAAGCACTGTGCTCTTGAATTGAGTGAAATAACTGCTGATAAAAAAGATCGTTCCTTGTAGGGATGATCATAATGAGCTGGCTTTTAAAAACTACTTCTTGTCTGGGATAACATTGAAGGGGATGGCAGTTTACCATTATCTTTAGTCTGGGCTGTTTTTCTAATCTGGGCATTCCCAATATCACTTCTGATTGGAAATGTTTATCTATGACTTTTTACAAACAGGAGAAAGTAACATGTAAACAGTACGAACAGCAAGAAGACAGAACACGACAGTTGTCCTACTTGTACATCTAAATAACGGTTTAAATATGTAGAAATAATTTCTCTGAGCTGACAATAAAGAGCTTTGTTGTTATAAATTGGAAATTATAAAGCTGTGATTATCTGATTTTTACAACTATAATTCTTCTGGTTTGATTTTTTTTAACAGATAGATGATCAGCCAACATTTGAAGCTTTCTTGCCCATGTATATGTATTTTGTGATTTTCATTATTTTTGGATCTTTCTTCATGCTGAACCTTTTCATTGGTGTGGTAATCAGCAATTTTAACCAGCAAAGGAAAAAGATAAGTACTACATGAGCTAGCTCAGAGTCTGTTGTAATCCCAGTTTGATCGAGTGAATAGTAGTTTGACATTTAGTTTTCCGACACTTTCAGATAGCCATTTGATTGGAGAAATTAAAAATAATATTTAAATACAAATTTTTAAAATAGGAGTCCATTTTTCCTCAAAGCCTTTAGTATTTTACCTGTAAATTCTAATTTCATGCTAGGTCCTTAACTTGTCCTAAGTAGGAGAGTGAGGAGGAAGGACTGGATAGTTTAGAAAAGAGAAGCCAAAAAAGTTACACTGAGTTTACTACAGAAGAATGGAATTATTTTCTTCCATTCTGAGGATTTGTTCTGGAGAGCAGAACATCCCTCTCTGCTGAGATTAAACGCCTAGCAAATGTGATAAGGATAATTAAGAAACACTGTGGCTCATAGAAGAAGTAACCACTGCTTTCCTGGTAAAGAAACTCAAAAAAATCTTGCTAATCAGAACTTCTAAAAATAGCTACAATTTAAAAATCCTGTCATCAGTAAAGTAAGATTTTAAATTTACTAGGTTTAAAAAGTTTCTTCATTGGGATCTGAGCCATGTCTCCAGGAAGAGGCCATCTAGAAATTTAAAAGCTTCTTCAAGCCTATGAAGCACTGACTGCTTCCACATTTCTCCTCATAGTTATTAGATTCCCTGTTCTTTTTATTCAGTAAGAAATGGAAGGCAAAATCTTAGAATGGAAAATGCAACAACCAAAGAAAAGCAGCAGTCAGTTTTCCTTGGTATACTTCAACTTATTTGTGATAAACTTATGTGTCAATTGAGTTCCCTCCCTCATTCATTTACGGGCTTAAATCATCCAGAATATTAATGGAAATTGAGTCAATTAATCCATGAGGAACTCTTAAAGCAAATAATCATCTTGCTCATTAAAAAAAGCAGATCCCAGCAGGAGGCTTACAATTTCAAGGCTCACATTTGGAAGATGGAATCTCTACAGGAGCCATTTATTACGGAATCATAGAATTGTTCAGATTGGAAAAGACTTTTCAGATCAACAAATCCAACTGTTGCTTCCAAAAGCTGACTTCCACAAGTGTCAAGGAATTACCGCCCTTATTAGAGACAGATAACAGTGTACCACAACAAAATCTGCTGTCTGCTTTTCAACACAGACGGGATATGTAGGGGTTGAGGATTAACAGTCCAATTTCACTATAATAATTTATTTTTACAACAAAGTCCCAACAGACAGAGACAACTCTGGTTAAATATAGACCTGAACCCTTACTAGAAGTTGATGTGAACGTAACACTTTTTTCTTTTCTCAGTGCATGCTGTAAGTGGGCTTTTTTTTTCTTTTTCTTTTCTTAGCTGCTTCTTGAGGTTTTTCGTTGAGATTCCATATAGTGAAGTTAAACTGAATTTTCCGAGGTCTTGCCAGAATGATTCAATGTGCAGATGCCCTAACATGTTTGTTTTACAAAATGCTAATCATTCAATGCTTTTATGATGAATGGCTTCTTCTGGACACTTGGCTTAAAGGAATTGCTACTACAGGTGGCATAGATGATAAGATACGCACCAGAAATTCATTATCAGGAACCCTCCATAGAATTTGGTCCCAAAGAACTTATTCATAATCTTCTATTTACTTGCTAGCCCAGCAACATACTTCTGTTCCTACCTTTTCCAAAAAAAATGAACGGAAAGTATTTTACTTGTTGATGAGTCTTACACTCATCAGATTTGTAGAGTTTCGTAAAGACTCTCACAGTTGAGGAAACTGAGTCAGGAACTAGTGTATATACTGAATTTTAGTGATCAAACTCTGATCAGCTTTTTGCAGGACACCTTTAAAAAGAGCAAGAGGAAAAGGAGAAATCTTTGATCCCACTCATGACAGCTGTAACTTACTTTTTTTTTTTTACATAAACTTGCTGTTGTTTATTTAGTTAAATGCTTAAACTTCAGCTGAAAGCCAATATTCTTCCCCTCTACTTAGGTGGAAAAGATCTATTTTTGACTGAGGAACAGAAAAAGTACTACAATGCCCTAAAAAAACTTGGATCCAAGAAACCTCAAAAACCCATCCCAAGACCATCGGTGAGACCATTTATACAGAGTATGATAGAATATGTAAAGATGGTGACCATATTTAAACTCAGTAGCCAGGCTTAGGGAAATAAACTTCACATTATAGCCAATCGTCTTCATCTTTCAATATAACGTTTACATTTTACTCTCTTTTTCTTAATTCCATCTAATGCAGTCTTTCTTTTCGGGCATTGAGGAGATTTATGGCCTATTTATCACCTCTTCAAATGTACTAGCTATTCATAAAGGCTCATATCAAATATTTGGTATTCATAACACGATCTCGGTTACTTAAGTTGCATGACATTGCTTCTGCAACTAGATTGGATTACTCCAGGTGAACAGAGTAGTACATGCCTCATGGCTGTTTTTTACTCTTAAATAATCTCATACCTTATTTTTTTCAAGTTTCTTAAATTTAATTCCAAGCCTGGCTTCACATAGTAACTGTTCAGAGTTTTTCTTGTTTATGACATTTTAATTAGAATGGCTTATCGTAAAGTGTATGCTTCAATAAATATTTCTATTAAAAGAGCACTTACAATGTACTCTGTTCTCCCGCTGTAGATTTTTTTTCTAGGGAAATGTGGTAACATGATACCTGGAAATACTTAGCCAAGTACTGAGTGTTTTCTTTGAAGGTCTAAAGCAATCACCTAAAAATGGTTATGGTAGCTTATTGTTAAATATATATTCCCCTAAATTCTCTCTCTAAGCACAAAATACTGATTAATATTTGAATTTAGCCCAAGTCTTAGAAGTGGCATTAAGTGATTCTTCTTGTTCTCTCCACAGAATATGTTCCAAGGATTTCTGTTCGATATGGTGTCACACAAAGCATTTGACATTACTGTTGTGACTTTCATCTGTCTAAATATGGTTGTTATGATGGCAGAAACCAACGACAATTATGTCAAGGATGTTCTTAATAAAATCAACTTCTTTTTCGTGGCAGTATTTACTGGGGAATGTGTCATTAAAATGCTAGCCCTAAGACATTATTTCTTCACCAGTGGCTGGAACATATTTGATTTAGCTGTTGTGGTTCTTTCACTAGTTAGTAAGTACCAATTGTTATTAGATCAGGTAATGTGTCTTACCAACATTAAGCCTAATTTCAGTATGAACTAATCACTTGCATATATCTGATAAACCAATTTCAGATCAGTTGTGCCTTTTCAAACCACACGCTAAGTGATTCCTTCTAATGTGATGTATCTTTTTTCCTTTTATTTTGCAGAGCATTAAAAGATAAATTGATATTTTAAAATTTTTGTTTGAGTATGAATTTTATTGAATAATTAAGAGAATAAGAAGTGAATGCAGTAACATCTTTTATAAGCTCTTTTGTAAGCAGCACTGATGTTTTTGTTGGAAGTGATGTAACGTGTTCAATATTATTTTCAACACCTAAAGCATAGAGTATAACAAAACGAACATATATAGGGAGTGTCACTGATATGGCTTGACAACATTTTGTTTTCTTTTTCATTTCAAAGGTATTGGACTTTCTGAAGGCTTTCGAACTTTATTCTCTCCTACGCTTCTGAGAATTTTTCGCTTGGCAAGAATTGGCCGGATTCTGAGATTAATTCGAAGAGCTAGAGGAATTCGAACTCTTCTTTTTGCATTACTGATGTCTCTTCCTGCACTGTTCAACATTGGTCTTTTGCTTTTTCTGGTTATGTTCATTTATGCCATTGTGGGCATGACGAACTTTGCCTGCATTGGCTGGGAAGGTGGGATTGATAACCTTTTCAACTTTCAAACGTTTGACAGTAGCATGCTCTGTCTCTTCCAAATTACAACATCAGCTGGCTGGGATGGTCTTTTAGTCCCTGTGTTAAAAAACTCTAATTCATGTGCTCCCAATTTAGATTTAACAAATGAACAGAAAAACAATTGCACGAATAAGGGGATTGGTATTTTATTCTTTGTAAGCTATGTCATTATATCATTCCTCATTGTTGTAAATATGTACATAGCTGTCATTTTAGAGAACTTCAGTGTTGCCACTGAAGAAAGCACAGATCCTCTTTGCGAGGATGACTTTGATATGTTTTATGAGACCTGGGGAAAATTCGATCCTCAGGCAACACAGTTTATTGAATATTCTTCACTTTCAGAGTTTGCAGATGCTCTGGCAGAACCCTTACGCATTCCAAAGCCTAATAAAATTCAGCTCATATCCATGGACCTCCCTATAGTTAGTGGAGATAAGATCCACTGCTTGGATATCTTGCTTGCTTTCACTAAAAGGGTCTTGGGAGAATCTGGAGATTTGGATGGTCTTGAATTACACATGGAAGAAAAATTTATGGCTTCCAATCCATCTAAAGTTACTTACAAACCAATTACCACTACCCTTAAAAGAAAACAAGAGGAGGTATCGGCTCTTATTATTCAAAGGGCCTTCAGGAGATATTTGGTGCAGCGTTCTTATAAAAGTAAACCTTTCCTATACCGTCATAAGCACTATAACAGTGCTATTTTTGAAGAAGAAACACATAAGAAGGAAAGTCTAATTGCATCAATGCTTAATGAAAACAGTGGTAGGAAGCTAGATAAATCATGGACTATGTCTTCCATATCTCTCCCTTTATTTTATGAAGGTATTGCTGAAACAGATAGTGATAACATGGACACATAACATTGCCCCAGGCTGCAGCATTTTTGATTGAACCTGTATCAGTTATTTTCAGATGGAGAAAATATTTTGATCCCAGAGCATCATACTCTAAATTTTGAATAATGAAGGCAGACCTTAGGTATTATGATTGTTCAGATTTGCAAAAGCTCCTTAAAACAATTAAGATTTAGACAACTCTGTGAGAAATATTAGAGGAAAATCAAACCATGGAATTTTTTTCCCTTGGCTACTGGAGTAGATGTGTGTCTATTACTTTGTATTTCCGTCTTTACAGAAGAAATCAGTAAAAGATCAGTTGTAACTCTTAACATGTTTTGTAAGCACACAAGTCTGTAGAACAATGTATACCTCTTTAGCGATAAAGCCTGGTTTACACAATTGGTTATTGTAGCAAAATTAAATAATTACTGCATTTTCTGTCAAGCAGCTCACTCAAGAAGACAATAGTATAATCAGCCACTGATTCCTATGTAGTTTGGGACCATCTTCCTCCTAGTGCTTTTGGTTGGATTTGTTTATGCTTAAGAATTTTTGAGGTCTCTTTACACATGCACCTAAATGGATTTAACATATCATCCTCAGGTGCCTCTGCTTGTACATCATGTGTAATTTAGTTTCTGTATCATTCCTTGTATGAAATTTGTGATAATAATAGTTACCAAGATGAAAAGTTGCTGTGCAAGAGGCATTGTTTCCAGAAAATCTGAACAATTACTCTATATAAAATTACATCATTATACTTCATCAAAATGTCATAGAAGGTATTACTTAATAATCTGAAGTGAAGCTCATGGTATATCTTAAGAGATAACATTTAATAAAGTTATGGAAAGTATTTATTTAATTGGTTCTAAATAAAATAGACATATTAACAATGTCTATTAATATTACTTTTACTTGTTGTTTGCAATTTAGATTGGTCAGGTGAAGTGTCATGTTGGTCTCAGAACTACGAATGAAATAGAATTATTTTAGATTCTTCAATAAAGAGTTCAGATACCTAACACATTTTTGTCTGTTTTGCAAGAGATAGCTTCAATTTCAGTTTATTACAGGACATGATCTGTTACTAGAGTGGTGGAAACACAGTAATATAATTTTCCAAATATAGCTACCCATTAGCACCAAGCAACTGAAAATATTCTGCTTTTAACAGGGAATCTGAAAATATTTAGCATTTTCAGGCTGTGGCAGCTGGAGTCATGCACTTCACTTGTAAGGGACAAGCAGTAATATATTGATTTAAAAAAGGCGATTTAACAAAGTTTGATATTAAATGTTACAGTAGTTTAAAAAGATTTGATGGCAAGGTACACCTGATTATTTACTGCAGAGAGGACGTGGTCAGAAAAAACTGTCAGGGAGATGCTTCCATTGAGTTATAAGGTTCAGAGGAGACCTTGCTCTGTAAACTTCTGAGTGAGCTTAGAGGAAAACCTCCCCTTGAATCATGAGGTTCAGAAAGGATTCTCTTGCTTTCTAAACTCCTTCTAGGAGAGGAGTCTGGGTGTGGCTGGATCATGTCCTGGTCCTAGACTGTGTCACAGAATCACAGAATGTCAGGAGTTG